TTGTTTATAGCTAAGAGATTTACTGCAGAAATTTCTAATTTCATGTACATGGGGACAATTGTAAACCTATAGGGTTTAATATATTTGTTTTAATCAACAAAATAAAAATCATAAACTTTTTACAGTATTCCTCTTTAGAAAAATGCATAATTAAAAAAATGTATATTGTCTCCTTAAGCCATATATAAAGGTCTGGTCTCCCTAATCCATAAATCAGAGTATATATATATATATATATATATATATATATATATATATATATATATATATATATATATATATATATATATATATATATATATATATATATTAAAAGTTTAATTATTTCACACAAAATGAAATAAAAAGGCAACACTTGTTAAAACGTAAGAGCTTTCATTGTTTTCTTCAGACGTTTTACAAAACGTCTGAAGAAACAATGACAGCGGATATATATATATATATATATATATATATATATATATATATATATATATATATATATATATATATATATATATATATATATATATATATATATATATATAAAGCTTCTGTTTTAAAAAGTGTTGCCTTTTAATTTCATTTTTATACTGATTACCGGAAACTGAGATATTCATTTCATTTCTTTTGGATATATATATATATATATATATATATATATATATATAAAGCACAAATTACAACAACTCTTAAACTAATATAACTGCCCTAAGTGAAGAAATATTAATATAGAAAGCACAGAGAAATTCACTTTTACAAGGATACTCACTTCCGCCCCAGCCCGGGGTTGAACTCTCGACCTACGGAATCTGTCTCCTAGCAGTGCAGGAACAGCGCGTTATCTCGGCTATCTAGGCAAGTTAAAAACTTGCTTTCGATGCCGATGGAATTCTCACAACGCTGCCCTACATTACACGGTCATTGAGAATGGAAGTGAGATACAGTTATTTGGACATTAGTTTTTAGAGGATCGTTACAAATACATGTTGTGATGAAATTAATTTTATTTATAAAGCACAAATTACAACAACTCTTAAACTAATATAACTGCCCTAAGTGAAGAAATATTAATATAGAAAGCACAGAGAAATTCACTTTTACAAGGATACTCACTTTCGCCCCAGCCCGGGGTTGAACTCTCAATGACCGTGTAATGTAGGGCAGCGTTGTGAGAATTCCATCGGCATCGAAAGCAAGTTTTTAACTTGCCTAGATAGCCGAGCGGTCTAACGCGCTGTTTCTGCACTGCTAGGAGACAGATTCCGTAGGTCGAGAGTTCAACCCCGGGCTGGGGCGGAAGTGAGTATCCTTGTAAAAGTGAATTTCTCTGTGCTTTCTATATTAATATTTCTTCACTTAGGGCAGTTATATTAGTTTAAGAGTTGTTGTAATTTGTGCTTTATAAATAAAATTAATTTCATCACAACATGTATTGGTAACGATCCTCTAAAAACTAATGTCCAAATAACTGTATCTCACTTCCATTCTCAATGACCATGTAATGTAGGGCAGCGTTGTGAGAATTCCATCGGCATCGAAAGCAAGTTTTTAACTTGCCTAGATAGCCGAGCGGTCTAACGCGCTGTTCCTGCACTGCTAGGAGACAGATTCCGTAGGTCGAGAGTTCAACCCCGGGCTGGGGCGGAAGTGAGTATCCTTGTAAAAGTGAATTTCTCTGTGCTTTCTATATATATATATTAGGGATGTCAACGAGTACCCGGTTAACCGGGTACTCGATCGAACGTCCGAGTATCGAATACTAAAATTGGTACTCGGTTACTCGGATGTATATTTTTGAATATTTCTAAGCTTATTTATTAATGCATTAAACAATCTGTTTTAAAACATAAAATACTCATTACACTTGTACATACAGTAATTAGGGTTTCCTACTCCTCTAAATGACCGTTATCGCCCGTGGCAGTGTTTATACAGTAATTATCGTGACCAAGCACTGTTACCTGGCTTTTCTCACCTTCGGCTGTCTTCTACCCTTATTTTTTGATTTTCTTTAATTATTTGTTTTCTCTGAACATCTTTTAAGGTCTGGTATGATTAAATAAATTAGATAATTTATCAATTCTCCGAGAAGCCGTAAATTCTCGGGAATAGAGACGGATGCTATTACACGCGCCACTGTTGATATGGTTGTGAGCTTAACGTAGTAGATTATTATTTTTTAAACAAAAACACCATGAACCACTTACGATTTTATTTCTTGTGTTTATCTGATAAATAAATTGAACTTAAATAAATGTTCTATAAAATTTCGTCGGGCACGAAGTTCTAATCATTGTTACAACAGAAATCATTAATTTTACGTGTACTATCAGAGCATGTTGTTTTATTTCTACAAGTGTTTACAATGTTTTACATTCATCAATTTACTTGTTCATATTTATTTACACTTTTACCGAGTACCCGGGTACTCGATCGGAAAAACGTCCGAGTAACCGAGTATTAAAAATTGACCGATTTGACATCCCTAATATATATATATATATATATATATATATGATAGAGTGCACTGACCTATACTCCAATCAGGATATGAAAGTGTAATACCTTTCGTAAATATGAACAAAACTGTTAATCGGATTTAGAACATTGTAAGGTATACCAGGATGTTTATCTATATCTGGACGTCGATATACGATACTTAATGGAACATTGCTATTTTTTTAAAACTTGTTTTTACATTATTTTGGACAATATCCGGACTGGTGCAACCACTATTGAAATAACGACCAGTACTGAAATAATTACTTCAATAGTGGTAGAGTGCATTTTAATAATAAACATAGGTTGCAACCACTATTGAAATACGACCACTTTTCAAATAATTATTTTAATGGTGGTTGAGAGTGCATTTTAATAACAAACATAGGTTGCAATAACTATTGAAATACGACCACTATTGAAATAATTATTTCAGCAGTGATTGAGAATGCATTTCAATATCACAGGTTGCAACCACTATTGAAATAATGTTCATTTTTGAAATAAAGATTTCCATAGTGATTAAAATATAGATTTCAAAAGTGATTGAAATTTTGATTTCAATAGTGCTTTAAACAATGATTCCAATAGATATTAAAATAATTATTTTAACAATTGCTGACGTACAATACCAAGACCACATCGCAAGCTTCATAGAAGTGTCCCAACTATTAAAACAGATATAAGGATGAATTTCACATTCTGCTTTCTTACATAAGAAACTAATTTATTGAGTTAAAAATATGATAACTAAAGTTGTTTTTTCCCTTTTTTGTAGAAATTTCAAATACATGGTAACTTTTTATTAAACTGACCTATATGTATCTATAATTCAAACTTGTATGCAAATGTTAAAAGCAAGCTCTCGCTGAATCTGGTCGAATCGGCCAACAGGCAATCAATTAATATATGCAATTTTGAAATAATTTGTCATATAAAGTTCATTTTTGTCATTGATTTGGAAAGGAAAGGATATCATAAATACATCTAGATGTAGAAATTAGAATACATGGACTAAAATGGAAGAAAAAAGAAGGAATACTAATAATTTTGTGTACAAACTTTCTGATAAAAAGACGGTTATTTTTCATAAAAAGAATATGGTATAGAACTAAATTGTCGCTCATATTCATGGGATTACCTGCATTAAAATACGGATAGTAAAGTTAATATTCGGTTTGTTACAATGGTAGGTGTTACATGCATTTCAGTAGTAATTAAAATGTGGTGTTGTTTTGAATTGTATTGTCAACTTCTTTTGAAAGAATAATTCACATAGTTAAGTTGTTTCAATGTCTTGCAATGTGGTTTTTGTACTGGATTAATTATCAGCAACTATCAAAATCATTATCTGAATCACTTTTGAAATCATTATTTCAATTACTATTGAAATCTTTTTTCAAAAGTGAACATCATTTCAAAAATGGTTGCAGCCTGTTTGTTATTAAGATGCACTCTCAACCACTATTGAAATAATTATTTCAATAGTCGTCGTTATTTCAATAGTAGTTGCAACTTGCAACACAGGACATCGAACTGAATCTTATTAAAGATGGCTGGACCGTGAATCGAACCCGGTACCTGTGCATCTCTAGTCAGGTGCTCTACCAACTGAGCTATCCAGGCCGATATCCACGGCCCAAAAACCATTACACTTATATTAACCCTAACCCTGGCCACCTAACCATAACCCTAGACCTAGCCCTTACAGCCTATCCCCAATTCATATCCTAGCCCTAACCCTAAGCTAACCCTAACCGAAACCATTTGCTTTTCGCCTAAGAATCGTCTCCAGTTTCAACATTAGACGTTACTCTTTAGTGTAAAAAAGGCAACTTCAAAAGAATTAACCTTATTTTTATAGTTCTTTGTAAACAATTTGCTAATATGGTAGATTATTCATTATGTAACATGCATTGGCTTTTAATTATCTGGTACTTTTTTCAAAACAAAATTTTTGAGAATAACTGTTGCTGTGTGTCGTATTTTACAGCACATATGACATGCATGTGATACTATGACTTAAAATGTGCCATTTTTCCCCACACCATTGATAAATGTAAAATCCGTTTCTGCAAAAGAACCTTTCCTCCTTCAGAGTATGAATTTCTGAAAGATTGTTATTCAGTTGATTTGTAAAAACTATGTGAAAAATACTTGTACATCTAATTGAAATTGAATCTCAATTAAAGGAAGCAACTTCCTTATAACAGAGTTCTACTGTACTTCATTTTGACTACTATTGTTCATTACAATCCTTCTTCCAGCCATCGAGCAACTTTAAATTAAGTGATCTGTCCATGACCTTAACCTTTTCCAATTTACTTTTCCTCATTAAAAGTTTTTTTTTCATTATCATCTTGGACGTGAGGATTGAAAAATTAATCCTAAGAACATATCAATGTTCTGTAAATAAATGACAATTTCCCTCCAAGCTACTCTTTTGCAACCAGATAACTCGTATTTAACTGGTCTTTACAAATGCACTGTCAAAACGTCTGACAAATGTAAGAAAACAATCATGACAACCATGTTTTATTCTGTGTTTCTTTTAAAAAACACTTGGGTACCAAGTCCCCAAGTTTGATTTCTCTTTGAACATAGCAGACAATGTATTCTCGATTTCAGAAAGCAATTAGCAAAGACATAAATACATAATAACTAGTTCTTCATTGTACTAAAACACTTCCATCATTTCCTCAGCAGATGCAACATCTTGTATTCATGCTGTGATCTAAGTCAAAACTTAATAGACACATGAGGTAGTATAAAATCTGTAATGAATCAATGTTTTAATCCACATAGTAAACAAGTCTCAGAATTCAGATAATTGTTTTTGATTTATACTTGATATAATGCCAACTGCTAGATAATAAATTATAACCAAGTCGTTCTTTCTCCATTTCATATACAGGGGATACAATGGAATTTAATCAAAATGTGGTCTTGGACATTTTAGATTGAGTAAAATAAATGAGTGTACCAGAAGTCGAAATAAATGCATGAAAATATTTGAGAGCAAGATGACAATAATTGGTAAAAGCATTCAATAACCATACCATATATTCTGTAAATCAAATCTCGGTGACAAATCCAGTTTCAGACTCCTAATTCACAAGTGATACAGTACATGTCAAGTTGTCATTGCTTGACTTGCAAAAAAAGTGGGTTGGGAAGGGGAGGGGAGAGGAGTGAATTTAAGATGTGGACATACTGAAATTAATTGGTAAATAAATTGCAAATATTGCATTATCAACAGTTTTGAACAAAGCATTTTAAATAACAATATACAGTATCTCAAATTCACAAAATTATTAACAGATGTATAACAAATAAAGTAAATAGTAATTCATGTGGATAGAGTGTACATATAAGCACACTGCATCATCAAATTTCAGATTCCTCTTAAAATGTCACCATCATAACACAGGTCCATCATATGGAATGAAGCACACATTATGACAGACAAATACACCAATCTCCATTCATTCATGTAATAACATCAGATCAAGAACATAGATATGCTTTCACAAGGCCAGTGCTAATATAAACACCTTTTATTTTCAACTTTAAATAAAACAAAATCATAAATTACAACTGAACAAACAAGAAAGTTATAGAAAACATCCATTTCTTATTGTTCTATTTTATGATAAGAATTACTTAATATTTTACTTTTCCTAAGGATAGTTACATGTACTGAATGTGCTTTAAAATCAATGAAGCCAGCTTGGATATATAAATGCCAGCATGAAAATATTGCATCAGATACATAATTTTAAACTACACTGTGCACTTTTAGAATAGGACTGAGACTTATCATTGAAAATAATATTACTAGGAAAAAAATTTTGGAAAAGAATAAAAACTTAGCAAATTGAGTACTGTTGTCATCAACTTGCATGTGTTTCTCTTCAATAGACCCTTTTAGATACATCCTAACATTTTAACATCATCGTCTAGACCATAAATATTTTGCAAAATCAACATACATGTACATGAACATAAATTCAACATACAACTTAAATATTGGTAAAAATAAAAATAATACAATACACTTAGCCACTGGTCAGTGAAAGTTGCATTTACTGTACATGAGCATGAAACATGACTTGCATCATCATTTTTTTTTAAATCTAGGTAATAATAACAAAGAAGACCTGAAATAATAAATACATTAAATTTATAGCTGGAAAATTCTGAAGCATTTTTCGTCAGCAAGAGGCAGTGTCCCAATATGACATCCAATTGAGGCCAGTAATGTTACGTTCACTGAACCACGATCGATATCCCATCCTGCACCGCGGGAGTGCAAGGTCGGTCAGTTGTGAAATTTGGTTCCTTTGAAGAGAATGGACTAATCCTTCAGTAGTCATCTAGATCAAAATCATCATCCAGGTCATCCAGCACCTGCCCTGATAACACTTGAAAGTCTATCTGATACCGTAATATTCCTGAAAAAAAAAATGATATGGTTCTCATTAATAATTTGTTCTCATAAATTATTCACATTGAACACTTTCCATTAATACAGAATTACAGACTGTTTGATTAAAATGGAAAATTTGTGGCTTGCATCAAAATTTGTGCGCCTAAGAGACTTTATGCATTAGAATTGATGACACTTTGCAAGAAAAAGACGCCAAAATTATACAGTATAAATATAACAATACTATGACATGTCTGACCTCCAATTCCACCAAATCCTCGTACAAACTGGGCTCCTTCTTGTGACTTGTCTGTGATGATTTCTAGGGTGGCACCTGTCATGAGGGAAAAACATACTCAACCTTAAAATTCATTAAGCAATTGTCACGAGAAATTCAGATGGACCACATACAAATTGAAGTTCACAAGATAAATGAACTTGACACTAAATGATGAAATTTATTAACTGATTTAACACATCATGTAGCATAGCCACAAAGAATTGCTGAAATTGTCAAAAGATACTTCAGGGTTCGAAATTCACTATATACGTTGACTTTTTCATTGTAAATTTCAACTGAGAAAAAATATCAGGTTCAACCCATTTTAGGCATACACATTGATCATTTCAGATATTAGGATTTTTTTTTAATAGATTGATAGTAAGATATTTATTTTAAAAAACTTTCATTTTAAAATTGTGAGCTGTCTTTTGAAATTGCGAGATCATTTATTTGGTACTCGCATTTATTTGTGAGTTGTAATTTTAGGGAGTTTCTACCCCGTACTTACCAAAATTCTTGTAGTTATTTGCGAACCACTCTAATAAGGGCATCTGCTCTGCCAATTCTAATTCTACACCAGTCTACAAAGAGGTTTATCACATTTTATTTAAATATACCTGCAAAGCATGCGCAAGCTGCGCAATTATACATTTACATTACTGTTTCAAAAATAAAGGCTATATGGGATGTCTCAAACACACTTGTTTTCAATATTGTTTGAAAAAAAATTCTCTCAGATATATGTTGATCTTGAGAGATTGAAAGAAATTTATATATAAGTTGGGAGCAAAATTTTCCAGCCAGTATTTTTCAATCTTGCCTCTATTTTTTATGGTGTATAAGCATTGATTTCACTTAAATAATTATACAACAGAATTATAACTTCCTAATGATTTGAAAGAAACAGTGACCTTTGTATTACATTACGCATCTATGATTTGCCGTCACGTTTTTCTAATATGTTCAAAAATGGTCAAACTATATGCAGCTTTGAGAATACAGTAAATAATTTTTTTTTTCAATTAGTTACATGAAATGGTCTGAATGCAATAATTTCATACTTGTGTATATTTCTGATAGCTAAGACTAAAGGAAACTTTTAAAGAAAAAATTTTAAATTTTGCTTCACTTATAGTGACAAAAAAGGGATGTTATAAAGTACCTGAGCAGTTTTCAGAAAATAATATTAAAGAAAATGTACAGGTATATAATACTATCTTATAAATTGCTATCCAATACTTACATCTTTATCTATAAAGTGGGTTTTGTCTTTTTCTTGCTCAGGCCGAAGGAAAAGAATATTCTCCACTGAAAAAAATAAGAAAAAAATGTGTAGGTAAATGCTTTCTTTGGAGGTGTAGCAAGGTTGAATTCTCTACAGAAAAACTTTTGAACATACTGTACTTTCGCTTTTATAACTAAAAGATAATACATACGCTGAAATGCACATGTCAATAAAAAATTACATTGCTTTGACTTAGATACTGCTTGCATTAGATTACAGAAGTGAACTGACAGAAAACTAGGTCATTTTTCTCACTTGGGTTGCGGCATATTTTAAAGGCACTTGGACACAGATTTGAAGTTAATATTTTCTGTATACTACACAGTAATATGACGAATTATATATTTTATTAGCACTTCACACAAAAATTAATTAAAAATCTTATTTCATTTAAAAGTTATTAAAACTTCAAATTTTTTGGCGGGTTTGATTGACACATCCTTGCACTTTCACGTATTTTAATTTTATTCTTAATCCTTCAGAAAAATGGCAATCTTGTTGTGTTTTAATGAGACATATTAAAACTTTAATCCAGAAAAATAATTTTATTCGGAGTAGAAATGTTAGAAAGCAAAACCCCTTCACAAGTATCGTCATTCCGAGCTAAGTCGTGTGTGCAAATCGATCACACTCGTGTTATGTACACAGTTTTTGTAAACAAGGCAGGAACTCTGTTTTTGTTGATGTTTTGATTTCACCGGGTGCGTTCAATTGTCAAAGTCTGCTCACCACAACTGCACGGACTGAGAATATATTGTGTGTTTATTTTGCTTTCGAACATGTCTACTCTGAATTTTCTGGATTGTAGTATTAATATTTTTCATTCATGCACAACAAGATTGCCTCTTTTCCTAAGTATTAAGAGTAAAATTAAAATTTGTAAAAGTGCAAGGATGTGTCAATCAAACCCGCCAAAAAATATGAAGTTTTAATAACTTTTAAATGAAATAAGATTTTTAATCAATTTTTGTGTGAAATGCTATTAAGATATATAATTCGTTATATTATAGAGAAAAAAATGACTTCAAATCTGTGTCCAAGTACCTTTAAGTTACATTGGCCATTATCTTACCATCTGTAGCATGATTCTTCAGCACGTATCTTGTGACGTCTAAATTCTCCCAGACGATTAGAATGTCCACGGCTCCCATTTCTAATGCCTTCAAAGTATCGTCCACACCAAAACAATATTTCCCTGTGTCTTGTGAGATCTCGTCAAAGTAACGACCTACAATCAATTAAAATTGATTAAAACTTAATGATTATACTTTTTATTTCAACATGAAATTTTACACGTAATTTACAATTCTTAGTAATGGGTTCCATACCTATGAGTTTCTTTTCTTGTATGAATTTCACATTTGCGAGAGAATCTGTCGCTAGTTCAATGGCCTGGTTGAAACCGTTTTCTCCTCCATAAGATACATCAACAATTTTGATGATCTTGGCTTGTAATCTCTGTGTGAAGTAATGTTATTATATTAAACTTCCCTATACTATGGTTTGATCTCAGAAGCATTTAACATCTCACGCTCATTTACATTACACACTCATTTAGCAACAATATCTCATAATGGATCATTGTCTTACTAAATCAGTGTTTTCTCTTTCTTTTAAAGTAAAAATCAATTCTTACAGGCTTTGGGTTGACATTTATGAACAAATTCCTATGGACTTTACAATCAAATCTGACTTTTTTTTGACAGAGTGGTATAACATATTTTTATCAACTTAAGTGGTCAATTTGGCTGGTAGGCAGCTCTTGGGGAAAACACTGCTAAATTATTTGATAAGCTTAAATCCTTGATAGTCAAAAGACCAGAAAAACTTACTGGATCAAACATGTCTGATTGACTGAGTTCCGTTTTGAAATCGGCTGATCCGGCTAATACTAGCCCAGCAATGTTTGGCTTGTCGTTGGTAATGAACAGCTGTACAGCAACTTCTGCAACTTTCCTGACATAGTTGTGACGTTTCTCCATACGTAAACGGGCAAAACGCAGTGCAGACTGACCTCCTCTACCTGAAATGTTGAAAAAGGTGATGAACTGTTCATAGCCCCTGATTTTAAAGTAAATAAAGTAAGCAAGAACATTTCTATCCCTCTCATAAAAAATTGACTTTTTTCTCCACACATACACTTCTAATTGAATTTAATCCTTATGTAACATTTCCTCTTTCCTAACAATATTTTTTAATTATTATCTTTTCCAATTCTTATTTTCTATTGACTATGACACTTAACAATCCCTTTTATTTCCATGAGGGATCAACCAGAAAAATGAAACCAAATAAAATTTTTACCATGTTTCTTGGGTAAATCAACTGTGAATTTGTGTAGGACTTCTCTCGTGTTTCCTGATAAAGTCCCAAACAATGCTCCATTACCGTCCATCACAATAAAACCAAATTTGTTGTCATCCGCTAACAATGCTGTCAATGCCTACAACATAAAAGAGAAAATCTAAGAAAAGAGGAATAACAAGAAAAAAGTTTTTATCCTTACGTTTACCTATCTACATATATCTTAAGTTTACTGATGTAATGACACATACTGCCATGTTAAATTAGCTGACTTTTAATTTATGCAAATAGATTAAAATAGGATTTTCCATGGTTTATGGTTGGTCTTGCATGGGTACAACTTTTTACTTCAATTGTGTGTTATTATCCTAGAGGCTTGATGTGGGGAATAAGATGGATAAAAAACATATCTAATCGGAAAGAATTCTTTTTAACAAATTTTACATCAAGCTATTTCATGATTTACAGTTTTATAGATGTAATTCCGCATAATTTGACTGTCTGATCAATTAAACATATAAACCATTATAGATCTGAAAATTATATCTTATGAGCCACATCCACTATGCAATGAAGCAAACACATGATAAAATGACTTTTACATAAAATTACATATGAATTTGCTGCAGAAATGGAGTTTGTACAGAGCAGCTTTCTCTAGGTTGACCAAAAAAAAAAAGAAATCCCTGCCTTAACTACTAACCTCTGTGTGGAATTTGTTATCACATAAATACAGGGATGTATTAATGGGCCGGAAAGGTTCAAAGTCTATGTTCACTTTCTTCTCCTTGCCTTCATCTGTTACAATGGTACCACAGTATATCACTAATCCATTGGGTGGAACTGAAAAGTGGAGAAGTACAAGATACATCAGAAAGTCAACCTTTTATGTTTGTCTCTGTCATAACTATTACACTGCTATGTATTTTGGCTTCAACAATTCCTCAAGCCACTTCCTATGTATTATGTTTTATGATTATGTACCTTTAGCAAAGAGTGGTTTATTGGAAAGGATATTTCTAACAAGGTAAATGTTCACAAATGGGATATACTGGAAAAAATGAGGGAGAGGCTGCGGGATAAAAGACTATAGCCTTTTAAATTCAGTGAGAAAGTATTCATAAATCCAGAGGTTTTATCATATCATTTATAGACCTAACTCAAACATTTAACAGCTGCAACGCTATTTTTGTGGGACCATCTTCAGATTTTTAAAGTGTAAAATGCAAAACGAAAATAATTATTAGAAACTCCTACATAAGTGCATTCTGCATCGCTTTTAATTGGTGTATTCAGCAGGAAAGGAGTTGGTTAAAATTGTTAGAAACCATCTAAGTTCAAGTGTTAAGTGTAATTAACTATACATTCGTAAGTCATGGGTCTGGTCATAATTCTCTGATGAACTTGAAACAATGATTACATCTTATTCAAATAACTATTTCCTTGACATTTTCTTTGACATGTTTGATTTATAATTTCTTCTCTTCATGAAACAATTTTTTTTACATCCTTATTAGGGTTGCGTTTCCTTGAGAATTGAAATTGCAGGAGACGTTAAAAGAGTAGAAAGGGGTTTGGGGAAATCCCAGAATATTATTTATTCGTGGGAAACTACCTGGCCCCCAGATCTTAGGGACAGCCCTATAATTCTTTTCTTTTCCTTTTAGTTTTACCTTTGTTGTACAGCTTCAACCTCTGTTGTACAGATGTAATGGCTCCCAGCACGGACAAGCGGTTTACTCTACTCTTGATATTGGATGCGGTTCCAAATTCATCAGCCAACATTTTGGCAATTCTGGAGATTTGATCCTTTGGTGGAATGATTAATGAAATCATGCTCGTACCATTTCTGTAAAATTAGTTTTTCAACATTTGAATATGTTTCTACCATCTATTAACAAAGAAAATAATTTACTGCACTTTTCGATTGATAATCATTAAAAGTATTGAAGAGGTTTATTTTGTAATAATTAAAACTTTTTACATATCCAATTTCTCTGAATGTACTTCGAATCAAAGTGGAAATTTCTCACATTTCACATTAGCTGTGACACATATTATTCGATCCTATTTTATACTTATAATTTTAATTTCATCCGATTTAAATAACATGGTTCACATTTCAAATGAAAATTGTATGTCAAACAAGTCAAAAGTTTAAAAATCCAGACCAAACAGGGTCAGTCCAGTTTTTTTTAAAGTTTCTTTGTCAAGAAATGAGAATGAGTAAATAGCTTACCCTCTTGCAGCTTCTAAACTCTTTATAAGCTTCTTGATCTTCCATATCTCAACATTTCGATCAGCACTGCTTTCTCCGTCTACACCGTTCGATGCCATGTTTGTGACACTCGACTAAGATTAACAATTTACCGTATGGCGGGAATAAATCGTAACCCGCCGGCTTAAAAAGCAGTCAAAGAACACCAGAAAATTATTTAGGACTCCCTGATTCACGATTTTTCCTTTCTGATGTCCAATTGATTCAATTTTACGCTTCCTTTTTGTTTTCTTATGTGGTGAAATGCCAACGACCACACTTCGCCATTGACCATGTGAGGTGTATGTGACGTCATCATCATTGCACCAAAAAATTGTTGCTATTTGATTGGATAGATTTTCAACATTATTTTTGAAAAATAATTTCTTCAATCATTTTTGTTCCTTTGGTAAACAAAACGTATAAATTTCAGTAATATTTTTAGAAAATGACACCATTTTATTAATATCTGTTCCATTTTGTGCGGATCCTAATGTCAAAGGTCACAATGGCTGCGCCCATGTCCACCCATTGACCTAAACTGTAAACAGAGCAATATAGATAGTTCGACAGCAGACGGTGTTGCTAAAAAATGACATAGGTTTGTTTTGATGAGAAGTTTTTATACAGGCACATGCAAACAAAATACAAACAAAATAAAATACTTACATGTATATTTACCAGCTTATATTGATGAAAGTAACAGCTATACACAGTGCAGATCAACTCATCAAAGTGGCTTACATTCTAGTTGTCATTTACAGTGTACATGTATGTATATCATTCTTACAAGTTCATTACCATTTTAATGCCTTTGTTATTTGATTGTATTGAGTCTGAGTGTCTTTACCTTTGATTTTTTTAAAGATTTATTTTTTTCTTTTAAAAAATCATAAATGCATGATACTAGCTAGACTAGGGACTTAAGAAATACAATCATGTGGTATATAAATCCCTTGGCTAAACTCAGGGGGGTGTTAATGTAAACAGAGGGGCATACTTTGTTTTTAAAGAATATAACTGTAAAGCAAGTTGGGCCTGTTGCATAGGAATGAGCAGATTTATCAATAAAGCAAACAACAGTCAGTGAGCAAAGTAATATCAGAGTGAGACATGTTAAGGCATTAAAATATCTTTGTGATGTATGCAGTTGCTTACAGTACTTCTTGGTCGTTACAATTATGCTTCAACATTGTTTTAATTACTCAGATTTTTTTTTTCAAGTAAAAGCATGCCTGAACCATATAAATTATTAAATTGACTTCCTAATGGTACTTAACGACAATAGTGTAGTCAAATCAGGTGTATCAGTCTTTCTAGGTTGGCTTGTTGTAGTTGGCTTGTGAGGATATCAAATAAACCACATGCACCTAACCAACTAGTACTGTCAGCTGGTTCAGTATATTCTATGACCATTGAATTATTTCAATTAAGTGTACGGTATTTCTGTTTTGTAGTGTAAAAGGCAAAATTTTGATATAAATTATACTTTCAACCTTTTGTTCAAATTTAAATAAGATATTGCATTTGATTTTATAGGTTATATTTTGTCAAACAATGCTGGATGTCTGTATTGCTGTCCTGTGTGGAATTCCGGGGAGTGGAAAATCTACTTTTGCAAAAAGCCTTATAAGGAATCAAACAATTAACACAGCAGGGAGTGGACAAGAACAGGAGAAAAATGCAGAGTCCTTCGATTGGATGTTGGTATCATATGATGATATAATTCCTTCAGATACAGAGAAACATATAATTGAAAAAGAGGTATGAGGTCTGAAAAATATTATAATTTGCACTTAAAAGCATATAAGTGGAAATTTTAGTGAGAAGCAAATTTAGTGATTTCTGTATAAAAATTGGTATTATATTTTCAGTGATAAATTTAAGTGGTTTTAAAATGCTCACTAATGAAGCTATTATGAATAAAATGCAATTAAATTTTAGCGATATTCAATTTTAGCGATCTTAGCACCCTAGCTAATAATGCCAAAATTAAATCCTCGCTAAAAATTTTACTTACCGGTATACGGTATATCAGGTTAAATTATGTAAACTTAAGTCATTTTTTTATTCAGTGTGAATTATTGTTAAATATCTGCAAATTTCCATTGTAGGTGCCAAATGCTTGGAAGCTATACAGAGAAAATATTCAGAATGCTGTCGTTTACCTTATACAGAGACTGCAAGCAGACTCTGAGTTTACAGAGCCAATGGAAGATAAAAGTGATTGCTGTTTTGAAAGTTTTAGGACATTTCTGCAGAGAATGATTGGAAAGAAAAATGGTGCAGTTGTGATACTTATTGATGACAATATGTATTATAGCAGTATGAGATACAAGTATTATCAGCTTACTAGGAAATGTAAGTTTTCAAACTATAAACCCTTTAACAGTACTATTCTTTTGCAGGTCAAAATTATCTATCGACAAAAACTCTATAAAGCATCATTAATGCGCCCTGCAAAGGAGAAGTACTGCAGTTATTGTGAAAGGGTTAATGCTCTATAACAGAATTTTCTTTAGCCATTTGTGAAAATATGTAACATTTGTTCCAAATCTATAAAGAAACTGAAAGCATGAAAATGATTTTTCTTCCTTTTTTTCTGGCAGACAAGGTTGGGTTTTGTCAGGTACACATCAAATGTGACACTGATTTGGCGTTGATCAGAAACAGACAGCGTTCTTTGGGACAAGTCCCTGAGGATGTCATTCTCAATATGGCAGCCAGATTTGAAGCCCCTGACCCAGAACAAAATAGCTGGGAGAAGTACTCAATCAAAATAAACACCAATGTGAGTTCAGAGGCATTAGAGGAGTAAGTAGTATAGTCATCTTATTATCAATTCCAGTGAAGTGTACCATTTTGCATTAAATCACAACCTATTTAATCAGCTGCGCTCAAGGTAAATGGAACACACCTACTAACTACAAGATTGATGTTTCTTGTTTGTTTTTTTTCCTGAAATAGTTTATTGCACAAGCAAACCAATCAGGGATAAGAAGAAAGTACCAATCATGAAGCTTGCAGTTAGAAGGCGTGTACGAGGGGTGATCAAAAAGTTCGCAAACTATCTCTATATTTTCAAAACCACGATTCAGATCAGAATGAAATTTGACACACCTATAGTCATGCACATGCTCTATAAATAGCATATGAAAAGTATTGATTTTCTTCATCATTGTGACGTCACAGTGTGAAAATGACGCAATATGCAGGTTACTTGTGACGAAAAATGGTTGTCTCGGTCTTACTCGATCAACGAACGGCTGTAAAGTTTAACATATAATGTGGAAATTCCTTTAAAGTACCTTCTAATAATTTGTACAAGGTTTATGAAGAAAATATACTTTCCAGACGTAAAATCATAAATTGGATTGATTGTTTTGGTTAAGGGAGGGAGATGGTTAGAAATGACGTTTGTTTTGTACCGCCAGCGAAAGCAAACTGGAGAAGAGATGTGTCCTTTGTTAGGCAATTTGTCATGAAAGATTGCAAAGTTACAGTTCAAAAAAAGATTGAATATCTTAACAATATTATTATTATTAAATCCCTAAAATATCTTTTAATTTTGACTTTTAACATATTAAATATGATAAAAAGAAGGCCCCGTATGACTAAAATCTATATTTGATAAACAACGTTCCTAAGACAGAGATATCGGGTTATGATGGTCACCATCTTCTTTCTGGGAAAGGATATCCTTATCCAACCATCCTATCTTCGAGATTTGGTCATTTCTGACAAATGGATCCTTCTTTTTATAAAAATCAACTTGCATGGTAAGAAATATAAGACTTGGAAAAATATTATAGCATCTATGAACAAAATGCTTCAGGGCATGTCACGTGACCCCCTGGATCACGTGATTCGCGCATGTGTAGAACGCTTGCAGATATGCATTAAAATCAGAGAGGGCTTCTTTAAAAAATAATGAACACTTAAACCTAATTTTATTTGTTTTAAGGAAGTTGTTCAATTTGTTCGTGAACTTTTTGATCACCCCTCATACAATTTACTGAGCACAGCTGTCAAAATAGGTTGTGACTTAATGCAAAAGGGTACACTTCAATGGAATTGATTATATATCCCATCTATATAAAATTATGTAATATATATAACATCTTGTAATGCCCCTGTCATTCTGCTTTGGTTTTAACACCATAAAGTTAGAACCACTGAACTAGAAAAGATCTCATGTAAACGCTTCAGGACATAAGAAAGATTTTCTTTTCATATCATGAATTCTGAGTTATATTTTATTACTCAGTTAGGATTGGGCCTCAATAAGAGCTCTCTCTCTCTCTCCGCACCTTTAGCTGTACATGTATAACAAGGTATTTTTTCAGAATTTTAACTGTAAAAAAAAAATACATGCAAATATTTTGTTTAAAATTTCAGTTCAGCAAATCAAGTGTTGGAGCTAATGTCAAAAGCCTTATCAGATCCATCTATGCCGGTAATGGAGGAACTGGATCAAACTTCTAAAGAGATAGACAGACAAATCAGTAGTGAGAATGTCATTCACCAGGCTGACATTGTTATGAGAAAACTGATAGCTGAGTACATGTGTCAGGCCAGGGGTAGGTCTACCAGTTCAACAATTTATTTTTAAACATTGTTGGACTTCAATTTTTTGTCAATCTTTGTTTACAATCTTTAGTTTACAAAAATTTTATCCTATTTTTTCCCCCAACAATCATGGTGCACTGATAGAGCCACTTGCTACTTCTCCTTGTTAGGATGTTTGTGCTCCTTTTTTTGTCCCCTTGTTCATACCCTTGCTTGTTGCCCCCAGTCTTGCTTTATAGCCTCCATCCCTTGCTTTGTTTCCCCAAATCTCTTTTCTTTGCTGTTCTTGCATTCTAGCTTCCTAGCTTTGTAACCCATTTAATGCTGCTCCTTTGCAGTCTCTCTCTCCCCTCTCCTAATACCAAAGGAAGCAAGGGAGTGATTTGTTATACATGTACCAGTAAACCATTACCTGATACTTATTTTTTATCACCAGGTTTATTTGTTTCAGGTCAAAATACAGACAAAAATCACATGAAGTCTCTATCTTCCTGTTTAAGTTGCTGTAAATCAGACATTCTACAGGACCTGAAGAGAGGAATGGTGTATTTTAGTTCTGATGAAGAGTTACTCGTCAAAATAAGGGATGTTTTTCAAGAAAAGCTTGGTGCTTATGGTTTTGGATGATGTACCGGTACACACTTCTACAAATCGATTTTAGTAACCACTAAGTGAAATACTGTGTAGTCCAGGACAAAAATTTCCCAAGAGTGAATCAAGGTACCTCATGATCATGTGAAAATGAGACATTTGTTTTATTGGGATATCCAGCAAGATCATTTAATTTTTCATTAAATCAACACAAATGTTCCAAGATCAACACAAACAAAGGTTATGTGCAATAGTAGATTTTATTGTTGAATCAAGTATATGTTCAATGATTAAATACACAAGTAGAAACACAGTTCTTTTAGTTCACTTTTTTGGTGCTACAGAGAAAAAGGTCTCCAAGAAAGGGTACAGTGTCTGAAAAAATATAAATAAATGTAAAAAAAATCATGACAATGAAAAATGCATATAATTCAAAGACAAACTAGAAAGCAAAAATATGTAGAGTGCAGATATGACTTGATCATTACATTGTCATTAAGTTTCCATTTCGTCAATCAGTCATGTTGTTTGTTTTAATAGTCATCTAAATCCAGATCAAAGTCCAGATTGGAGAGATCGTCCGAGCTCTGGAACTCCATCTTGTATCTCAGCAATCCTGTAAATACAGAATTCTAGATATAACAAAAAGCTTGAAGTCTGACCCTCATTTGGATAATAACAACTGCATCTGTTTCTTCATAAAATTGTCATGGACTCCTGATAAAAAGCCATTTCTTTCTCAGCAGTGCATAAATTGGTGAAAGCCTTAGTATTAAAGCAGAGTTTTCAAAGGATTTAATGAAAATTAGAAGTTGGAGTTTTTGGAGAATGCACACAAGTTTATCATTCTGAAAATAATGGTGTGATATAATTTATCTGATTTTATACATGTGATTGTGCTATTTTATTAAATAAGATACATTTAACTTCTTTCACAGTCAGCAAAATAATTGATAAATTTGATAACAATTACTGCAATTCAGAATTGCAATCATATTTAATTTAAAGTGCAGCTGTATGTATAGGTCAATATAAAATGGTCAATTAACTAATTTCAAATTCTACCAACAACAGTTATTTATATCCAGTATGCAATACCCCTTACCTCCAAGGCCACCAAAACCACGCACAAACTGGGCTCCTTCTGGGGTCTTGTCTGTCACAATTTCAAGATGAGAACCTAATGTAAAGATGTTTTACTGGTCATTCATTAACTTAATTTTGGAAGGTTTAATGCATTGTCATACTAATGACATGAATATTAGAAGAGGAAACGTTGCTTAAAATTATATTATTATAATGAAGGGGTAAGTTTCTCTATATGTCCTGGTTGATGTCATATTGCTCATCAAGGAGTAAGAGAGCTACTGAGGATTGCATTATACAGATCTTTTTAAATTTAATAAAAAAAATGATTATTATAAAAAATGTTACCAAATGACTTGTAGTTGTTGACAAGCCATTCAACCAATGACATCTCCTCTACTATTTCCAATTCGACACCAGTCTACAAAATAAAATAGATTTTTCAAATTTACTGTTCAATGTTTGAGGTAAATTTGACAGAAAATGGTTATACATTTAGTATTATGAAGAATGTGCGATCTAATAAAATTAGATCTTTAATCTGCTCCTTTGAGTGGATCAAAGATCTAATTTTAATAAGATTGGAAGAATGTGTTACCTCTTTGTCAAGGAAAAAAGTCCTGTCCATCTGTTGCTCTGGTTTCAAAAACAGGGTACTTTTACCTGTCAAATAAAGATTAAATATGATATAATAATTTGAAAACAGATTTTCAAAACACACTGTATTTTCATGGTCAGAAACCCACAGTTGGTCTCCCTTTAGAAAAGCAAGATTGGTTTCAAATTATTCTTCAAAATCAATCTTGTTTAACTATTCACCACTGGTACGTACTGTTGTCTTTGTGGTTGGACATGACGTAGCGAGTGACGTCTAGATTTTCCCACACCACCAGTGTCTCCACGGCCCCGGCCTCCAGGGCAGTCAGCGTGTCATCCACTCCAAAGCAGTACTTCCCTGTGTTCTGAGCAATCTCCTCAAAGTAGCTATCTGTAATAGAAGATTATCACTGCTGTTAACAGTAAGGCAGAGCAAGGAAAGAAAATCTACAGAAGATGTCAACAAATCATAAAATTATAGCACTGAGGAATTAAAATACATGTAACTTGGAACAATTATGCTGGACACTATAATGACATTTCACTATCAGCATCAATTCATTACAAGCATATTTGCTACATGCATGTTTAACAGTAAACAGTACATTTGCTCCTATTTGTTCATCCCCCCCCCATATAATCAATCATATTGCAAGTAAACTTCTTTTATATGGACATTCAATCTCATGTTGGCAAAATTATTGTTATTATTAGTGTTGAGTACTATCTGAAATGCTATTACTGAACATCAACCCTGTAGTTTGTAGTTTTTTTTTTGTACGTACCTAGCAGATTTTTCTCTCTAATGAACTTAATGTTCCCCAACACATCTGCTGATAGATTGACAGCCTCGTTGAATCCACTCTCTCCTCCATAGTTAATGTCTACTACCTTAATGATTGCTTTTTGTAGTCTCTGGAAAACAAATTCAAACCATTCAAAAGGAAATCTATACATAATGTATTTGGCTTGACTTTTGCTGAAGCAATGTTCATTACAATACCCGTATACTAGCAAGCATGTACTAGTATTTTCATCTATTAACAAGAGAAATGTACATGACTTTACAGACATACCTTCAAATGATGAAGTACATGTGTATATTCATTGCATTTATTGGAAGAAATTGTGTGAATTTTTGGGTCATAATGAAAAGGACAAGTTCAGCTAAGACCCCTTTTTGGCCCCCAGTGTAGGTTTTCTCTTATAACCAGACAGTTGCAGAGATCATGGTATTGGCATGCCTAATGCAAAAATATCTAAATGAAAGTTAAAAACAAATGAAATTACCGGATCCAGAAGGTCAGTTTGGCTGAGCTCCACCTTAAAGTGGGCAGAGCCTGCCAGTATAAGACCGGAGACGTTTGGTTTGTCCTCAGTGATGAACACTTTGACTGCAGTCTCAGCGACCTTCCTCACAAAGTTATGTCTCTTCTCCATTCTTATTCTTCCCATTCGTGCAGCTGACTGACCTCCCCTTCCTGAAATGAAAGAAATTTTAAATTTATGAAAATGCACTTTAAAAGTCAGACTTTCACTCAATGTTGAAAATAAATAGAAGTCAGTCTTTCTTTACATTAATCATCTTCCATAATCATAGTGCATCGTATGATAGGAGTGTCCTCTAAATATATGATTATCAGAAGTCAATATAAAACATATCCCTTACCATGCTTTGGTGGTAGTTCCACAGAAAATTTTTGAATAATTTCTTTGTGATCCCCACAGAGAGTTGCAAACAGGGCACCTTTCCCATCCATTATGATGAAACCATATTTGCTGTCATCGGTTAGTCACGCCCTTAACAGCTAAAAAAATACAACATATTTCGATCAACACTTAAAAATATGTCAAGCAATTGAAGTTAAAATAACTAAAATTAATAAAATCAAAAGAAAAATATTTATTAATTAAATAGGAAATTTGAGAATTCAGTGTACATGTATCATGACGTCTCAAAAATTTTAATGTAAATCAGTACAGTTGCTAGCTAGATATATCTGCAGTATATGTAAAATATAAATTCCATACCTCGGTGTGAAACTTGTTGTCACAGAGATAAAGGGAGCGATTGATTGGGCGATAGGCCTCAAAGTCAATGTTCACAAGTTTTTCCTTTCCGTCATCAGTGATAATGGTTCCACAAAAAATCACAAGTCCATTCTTTGGAACTACAAGTTTGTAAAATAAAAATTAAACATTTTATTTGTTTAATAATCAATTTTTAACCAGCACATTACAGCATCAAATCAAAATCCAATTACTAGTTTAGTAATCAAGGTTGAAATCTATCCCTGCAAGCCAACTAATCTGAAAATACTTAAATAATTGACGAATCATTCATTATTAGTAAAATTTCATCTGCTTCAGATGACGTTTTCAAGTACGACAGGTAAAATTGATTACATATTTTAAGATGGTTTTTTTTATCACCAGCATTTAATTGTTCATCTGATTATTTCACCTGCTTTATAGAGTTTCAGTCTCTGCTGTACTGATGATATTGCACTCTGCACTGACTGCCTATTCACCCTGCTCTTGATTCGTGAAGCTGTTCCCATTTCTTCTGTCAACATTTTGTTAACAATTGGGAGTTGTCCATTTTGCGGTATAATCAGAGAGATCATGCTTGTTCCATTTCTACAAACAGGTATAGAAAATAAGTATGCTTAATGATAAATATTTTATTATACATGTACACAGTCACAGATACAGTGCTTTCTTTTTAGTTTTTATCGTTAGAAACATCTTTGGAATGTTAAACAAATCTGAAAGTTAGTACCAGTAAACAAATAATTCAATATCCAAAGCTCTGACAATATCATGCATCTTACCCTCTGGCACTATCCAAACTCTGGACAAGTTTTTTCATTCTCCATAGTTCAACATCCGAATCGGAGTTTGCAAAGGCAACAAACTCATTCTTAGCCTCTGCCATTTTTGACAGTTGTAAATCCCCGATGACTCAATTTCTTGCCACTTAATCGTTATAGTGATTTTGTCCTTACCTACTGTTAATAAATACTGGTCTTTGCACCACATTGTGCAAGGTGTTGCGCAATCCTTAACCCTCCATCACAGTTAAATAAAAGCTTTAAATCCCTTACAAGATTTTAATATTCTCAAACGTTTTCAGGATTTAACTTTACGAGGAAACAGTTCGGGCATAAAATATTCGTATTGGGAAAGAATATTAGGTACGAGTTATTGAAGTTGCTAAAGAAGCCTCCTTGAGATATTTTTTACAGAATTAACGCAAATAATTGAACTTTATTTTCCAAATCTGGTAATGTAGAAGCCTTATTGGTCAAGACTCCTTAAAGGACAGGAAATTCGAGCCAGTAAAGGTAGGCTATGTAGCAATATCAACTATGTTAACTTCATGATTGTTTTCATTTTGACACTTCTTTTTGCCACAGTTAAACTGCATGATGATTTGGACTTATCTTAAGGAATATGAATGTTTAATATACATACAATAAATGTTCAAGTTCAAAGTAACCGATTTTGTTTTAGATTATGGCAGATAGTGTTCAGACTTCCTCTGAACTAGACTCGGCAAATCTAGATAGTAACACAGAGGAAGACTTGAAGAAAATTCTTGAGGGTCAGCATGTTCCGGTCAATGACATTACTGTGGGATTAGACAGGATAGGTACAAATAACTGAACAATAATATATCTCAGATAATGTTCTCAGTACTGTAATCAAGAAAGTAGTATAAACTTTATGTTCATTTAATTAATAATTATAACACATAATTTACACATTTGAAGTGAAATTGTGATGACAAGGCTGGTAAAGTATGTAGTTTATAAATAGATTAAAGATAAGACAATACATATATTTTTGACTTTATACAGTCATTTTCGGAGGTAAAATGATTAAAGTTGGATTTAATTTCATTGTTTTCTCTCAGGCATGAATAATATAGCTCAATTTAATCAAAGAATAAAATTAAATATTTATTTTTTTGTCATTATTGTTTTTCAGGCAATTTTGTACCAAAGACTAAAAAGACTGTATATTATATTGTGGGAGCAGTCATTATTAATGATGCAGGCCAGGTGTTGATGATACAGGAGGCCAAGTATTCATGTTATGGACAATGGTACCTCCCCTGTGGAAGAGTGGAGAAAGAAGAGAGCCTTGTGGTATGTGAAGGCTGTTTAGTCAACAAAGTCTCTTTTTTCAAATATCTACTGCTTGAAAATTTGTGATACTGCTTTCATAGGGTGAAAATAACTGAAAGGTGACTGAAAGTTTACTGAAAGCTGATGATATTTTACTGAAACGTGACTGAGCTAGAGTTTAGCCATTCAGTCACCATTTCAGTCATTTCAGTAAACTGCATTCAGTTACCTAAATGAATTTTACCATATTGACTGGGCTGTCTATCCATACATATGTGAAATTTGGGGAATTTAGCCATCCCCCAAAAAATCCTTCACTATTCTTGAAATAATTAAATTCCATTTCAAACTAAAAAACATTGATTATCCTATAACTTTCATAAGACAGACCCTTTCTAAAGATCAATTTATTGACGAGTTTGTTGACTCCGAGATAAGGATACGAATAAAGCAAGCTAGGCCAGCAGATTTAAATGAGGCAATAAGGTTAGTTGTACATATCAAACTACAAAACATTGATTATCTTACATCTTTTGATCTGCTTTGCATTTCCAACTTTTTCAGAATTAAATTTTTCTCCAACAACTACTTTATTACCCTTATTTTACTATTACCGGGGTAATATGTAAAAAGAGGTGAGGGAGGGGGCCAACCGGCTTTTTAATGTGCATTTTTAGTTTTAAAAAGTTATGTTAGGATCCACTCCTACCCCCACCCCTCAATGCCTGAGATATACTGTTTATATATTACCCATTAACTTTATGATGACATATTTTAAATTTTAATTCTTAGCCAAGAAATTTTTGTCAAAAATTATACATGACATATTTTTTTGAATATCAACCAGTTAACATTTTCTTGTAATCATTACCATCAGGATGCGTGTAAAAGGGAGGTGGAGGAGGAGGCGGGGCTGACCTTTGAACCCACAACTCTATTATGTGTAGAGTACGGCTCAGGATACTGGTATCGAGTAATATTTACTGGCCATGTCACAGGTATTTTAGAATACGGTAAAACTCGTTTAGTACAATCACAGATATTGCGAATTCACAGATAGAGCGAAGTATGGATCCCCCGCTATATGATTTTAACTAATTCCTTATACGGATATAACAAATTATATATATATATAGCGAAGTAATTTCATAGGTCCCAATGACTTCATTATAACTGAGTTTAACTGTATTATATAAAATGATTTTGTCAGAATTTTAAACTCTATCTATTCTATGACCTTGAGAGAGAGAGAGAGAGGGAGGGGGATGTGTATAACAGTTTGTGTGCGTGGAATTTGCAAACACCTTGCATCACCATATGAGAGATTCATGTTTAAAAAGTTTTGCTAATTTAACAGGAGGAAAACTGAAGACACTGGAGAGAAAAGATAAGGAATCATTACAGGCAGAATGGATTGATCCTGTACACCTACACAATAAAACCCTCCCTATCAGGTACTTGAATTCTCATGACATTCAACAAGATACAGTTGAATTTCTCACACATCAATTTAATACTGTGGATAATTATGTAGTGGAAAGTTAGAAGACACATTCACATTTCTTTTATGTTTTTTATCCTCAATAATTCAAATCCTTGGATATATCTCAAAAGTTTTGTCAGCCAAATCAAGTTAGATTTAACAAAACTTGAATGCTGCAGTATATACATGTCATGCATGTGCAATATTATTCAGATTAAAGTTACCATGAAAGAACGAGTGCACTTATGGGCCCCGGTAAAATGTGAAAAAATAAACAATCAAATTAAACAAAAATTTTCATCTCAAATCATTAATTGATATCTAAACCATACGATTCAACAAATTTTACCGCTGAAATCCACGAATATACAAAGAACAAAACTATACAATGTGGTAGGGGTCAGCCGACATTGGCGATTTTCTATAGTAAATCGAGAACGGTCATTCATTTCAAAGCCTTTGTTAACTATGAGCCTAACATTGTGCAAACTTGTGCGAATGACAAAAGACGCATATTACATTAATAAAACTTGTGTGAAAGTATGAAATTTGCACACGATTAGGCTCGTACTTAAAATATTAAAAATGTATAAAAAGTACAATGTTTTTCCTATAGCAAGTGAGAGCTATTTACCTGTATGACCCATGTTGAACCCACGTGTGGAATAAATTATTTAAAATACTGATAGTCACGTGAGTTCTACCCAGGTAAACATTCCTAAAAAGTGCTCACTGTAAAACATAGGCAGGTTTTGTTTCAAGTCAAAGTCGTGCCGCTTAGAGATGTTTTTATGTATTTGTTTTTAAGAACACCGGCGGTTAAAGAGAGTTTAGTGTCAAACATTTTTAACCTTCATGCAAGACAATGAAACAGGTATTGAAAGCCACCTATAACACTCCTTTTTAATTTCAAATTCAATGAAACTATTATTGTAATTTTTCAAATGCAAGAGTACCAATTTCTTAGTTTAATCATTTTAGATACAGGCAACTACACAACTTCATTCCATATTTTTAAAAACAGATTTGGCGCAAGAAGTAACATTCCACAAACGCGCCCGAATATGATCCACCATCAGGTTGTTAAAGTATCGATTTAAATATCTATTCCCTTGATTTACATAAAGGAAACTAAAAGAAGGTTCGGTATTTATTTATAGGGTATCCATAGGCCTTTCAAAATATTCAATTGTTTCAAACCCATGCCAATTTAAGTGGCAAACATGCTTTTTGATTAGAAATATCCACTAGTATCTAACTATTACCAATAGAGAATGATTTGGTAATATATTCTGAAGTAAAATGGCACATAAAAAGGGCCCATTAAGTATTGCTTAAGTGCACTTGTCCTTTTACTTTCTCCAAATGGTTATGTTATTTTGTTTTATTTTAATTATTTATGTTTTAGGGCCAAAGATATAATGCCCCTGATTAAGCTGGCTTACAAACACTGGGAGAAAACTGCAGCACAGAGGCCCAGACCTTTACTTCCTTTACCCTACAAACACAAGCACATCATTAACAGACCATTGATAGTACAGAGAATCTCGGACAGGTAAGTTTTGCTACAAGACTTACATCCAAACAGGAGGTGACAAATCTCATTGCCCGTTACCCGGGACTAGTGAATTTCAGGGGTGGGCAAGTGAAATTTTAGGGACTTGCATGATCTATTCAGTGTTTATCTGCCACTTTTTTTGAAATATTTATAAGTACGGTACACTATATGTTTAGGGTAGGGCAAGCAAAAATTCAGGTAGGGCAAGTGAATTTTAATTATGTACTTGCCCTTAGACAAATGCCTTAAAAATCTATTTGTCAGCCCCTGTCCAAAAAACGCAGTCAGTTGAAAATGATATTCTTTGATTTGCTTGGTTTCTTGTAAATGAGCAATCAAAGGTTCCTAGTTTAATGAAATTGCTAAAATACTGTAGTACATGTTGTTTTATGTAGAAACATACTTAAATAATTCCAGACCACAGAATATAAAATCTATTTGTTTTTCACTGAAATTTCTTATACCCCATCATTGTGTTTTGTTTTTGTTTTATTATTATTTTTTTTTTTTATGCCCCCCTTCGAAGAAGGGAGGGAATATTGCTTTGCGGCTGTCTGTTGGTCTCCCAACAGTTTCTGTTCATTTTCTTTGCAGAGGTTGCACATATTGAATTGAAAGTTGGTATACAGATTTATCATAAAGATATCTTTGTCAAGTTCTGTTTGGGGTACGATTGGGCATCTTGGACAGAGTTATGCCCCTTGTACTTAGAAAATTCCAATTATTTGCAGTTTCCAGTGATTTTCTTTGCAGAGGTTGCACATACTGAAATGGAATTCAGTATACAGAATTATCATAAGAATATCTAGGTCAAGTTCTTTTTTGGGTATGATGGGGCCATTTGTCCCTTGGACTTAGAAAAATTCCAATTATTTGGGGGGAGGGGGGCATAAGTGTTTTACAAACATCTTTTGTTTTTTTATGAAGGTTTAATAATAGATTTTTACATACACTTAATTCTTGAAATTCATATCATAATTCCACCCTATCTGGCATGTTACATAATATATATATATTATACCTTTAATTATTTATAATTTCTAATTTTTTTTAGTGAGATCTATGTGTTGGTGAAATCAGAGGGTGGATCACAATTTCCATGTGGTGTAGATTTCAGTAGGACTCCGTCTGCACTTCTGACAACCATATATATTCTCAAGGTGAATTTTAAGACTTAAAAGTTGTTAACGTGGCTTAGTAAATACTGTTACAATGACATAATTGTAGGATATATAAATCTTACATTTTATGGGGTTCATGGATATCATTTTAACAGTACTTAGGATATTTATTAATTGTTATGTTAATTATTATCAATATTATTATTAAGACACTTTATTTTGTAAAATTGCAAACATATTTTTTTTTTACACGGGGTCAATATTCTGTTGAATCACAAAATCAGTTCCATCCGCAGGTAGGAAATTACATAAATTTCTTAATCACTATATGAAACTGCAGGACAAGCTTAATGACTGGTTTAAAGCCTGACCTCAATTTTCATTTGTTGCAGGCTAGGATTAATGTTGATCCCTGCACTGAAAAAAACTACATTAACGCTATTGCTTATTACAATATTTTTAGGAAGCTGGTTGTAATTCAAAGTTAAAACCTAAACTCTGTGGCGTATTGAACTTGGAACATGGAGCAGAGCCGGGGTGTAGAGAGGATGGAATCTGCTTCACCATACTGGTCTCCCTTGATGCCTCAGAACTTCCTGTCCTAGGGAATCCTGGGTATAAATGGGTGAAACTCAAGGACCAAAGTCTGATTCAGAATATCTGTGCAGCATTTGATGAGGAGAAGATAGTGCCTTTCATTGACTTAAGTAATGCATTTTAGCTTACAAAATTAGGTGATTTAGCAAAGGTTTATATATTAAAAGACCAAAGATTTTAATAATTTCAGATATAAGCTCAGTTCAACATAACCTCATTGGCATATGGTCTTAGTGAATCTTAGTGACATTAGCTCATATGGAATGAAATTCCAAGGACTTTCTCTTTTTTATATATATACATGTACTTTCATTTAAAAATTATGTCGTAAACCTTATTAAGTTTATATAATTTTTAGCTCTACTGGTCAGAGACCAGAAGAGCTTATGCGATAGTAAGGTGTCCGTCGTCCGTCCGTCTGTCTGTCTGTCCGTCTGTAAACAATTTTTCAAAACGCTACTCCTCCTACAGTTTTGGTCCGATTTCAATATAACTTGGCACACAAGTAGACTACACTAAGATACATAAAATAGTGCATCGGTTTTTGATTTCGATGAACGGTGTTGCCATGGTTACTAAAAATAGAATTTTCTTTGAAATTCCTTTAAAACGCTACTCCTCCTACGGTTTTGGTCTGATTTCAATATTACTTGGCACACAAGTAGACTACACTAAGATACATAAAATAGTGCATCGGTTTTTGATTTCGATGAATGGTGTTGCCATGGTTACTAAAAATAGAATTTTCTTTGAAATTCCTTTAAAACGCTACTCCTCCTACAGTTTTGATTTGATTTCAATATTACTTGGCACACAAGTAGACTACACTAAGATACATAAAATAGTGCATCGGTTTTTGATTTCGATGAATGGTGTTGCCATGGTTACTAAAAATAGAATTTTCTTTGAAGTTCCTTTAAAACGCTACTCCTCCTACAGTTTTGATTTGATTTCAATATTACTTGGCACACAAGTAGACTACACTAAGATACATAAAATAGTGCATTGGTTTTTGATTTCGGTGAACGGTGTTGCCATGGTTACTAAAAATAAAATTTTCTTTGAAATCCATTTAAAATGCTACTCCTCCTACAGTTTTGGTCTGATTTCAATATTAGGTAACACACAAGTAGACTACACTAAGATACATAAAATAGTGCATTGAATTTTAATTTCGATGAACGATGTTGCCATGGTTACTCAAAATTGAATTTTCTTTGAAATTCCTTTAAAACGCTAGTCATCCTACAGTTTTGGTCTGATGTTAATGGCTTCTTTTCTCATCCTTTATTATAAGTACAAACCAGTAGAGCTACAGTCTCGACAGAGACTTCTGGTTTTCAAAGTTTATTCTGAAGCAAAATTATGGCAACATATCATTTTTTGCTGAATTATTTGTTGTGTTTTATGTTTTTAGGTCACCTGAGTAAACTCAGGTGACCTATTGCTATCCGTTTTCGTCCGTCGTCGTGCGTCGTGTGTTGTGTGTTGTGCGTCGTGCGTCGTGTGTTAACATTTGAACATTTTCAGCTTCTTCTCTGCAACCATTGAACCAATTTCAACCAAATTTGGCACAAAGCATCTATGGGTGAAGGAGAACAAAATTGTGAATTTCATGATCCCTGCCCCCCTGGGGCCTGAGGGGTGGGGCCAAAACCATTAAAATTAATGCAATCTTTAAAAATCTTCTTCTTTACTTCTGGACATCAAGCAGTCAAACTGTTTGCATGATTGTAATCAGCATTGAGTCCTCTACCATAATTGTGAAATTCATGGCCCTGGGGTCAGGGTTTCTAGTGCTAGGGCGGGGCTAAATATTAAGTATATAGTGAAAATGCATTATTTCTTTGAAAATCTTCTTCTCTGCTCCTGGGTATTAAATAAACAAACTAAGTACATAGTTATGATGAGAATGAGTGCCTCTACCAAAATTGTGAATTTTATGGCCCCAGGTTCAGGGGTTCTGGTGTAAGGGTGGGGCTCTATTGATTATATATAGTGGAAAAACATGAATTCTTTGAAAATCTTCTTCTCTGCCCCTGGGTATTAAATAAACTAACTAAGGGCATAGTTATGATGAGCAAGAATGCCTCTACCAAAATTGTGAATTTTATGGCCCCAGGGTCAAGGGTTCTGGTGTGTGTGTGTGTGTGGGGGGGGGGGGGGGCTCTTAAGTGAAAATACATGAATTCTTTGAAAATCATCTTTTCTGCTCTCCTGGGTATTAAATAAACTAACTAAGTGCATAGTTATGATGAGCAAGAGTGTCTCTACCAAAATTGTGAATTTTATGGCCCCAGGGTCAAGGGTTCTGGTGTGTGTGTGTGGGGGGGGGGGGGGGCTCTATTGATTATATAGTGAAAATACATGAATTCTTTGAAAATCTTCTTCTCTGCTCCTAGGTATTAAATAAACTAACTAAGTGCATAGTTATGATGAGCAAGAGTGTCTCTACCAAAATTGTGAATTTTATGGCCCCAGGGTCAAGGCTTCTAGTGTTAGGAGGGGGAGGGGGGAGGCTCTATTGATTATATAGTGAAAATACATGAATTCTTTAAATTTTCTTCTGCCCCTGGGTATTAAATAAACTAACTAAGTGCATAGTTATAATGAACAAGAGTGCCTCAATCAAAATTGTGAATTTTTTGGTCCCAGGGTCAGGGGTTCTGGTGTTAGGGTGGGGCTCTATTCATTATATAGTGAAAATACATTAAATCTTTGAAAATTTTCTTCTCTGTCTCTGGGTATGAAGCAGATGAACTACCTATATAGTTATGATGAGCAAGGGCCCTAATCTTGCAGAATTGTGAATTTCAAGGCCCCAGGGTCAGTGTTGGGGGGGGGGAGGGGCTATACCTATATACTGAAAATGAATTAATTGTTTGAAATCTGCTCCTTTGTATTTATAAAACATTTATTTATTTTTGGATAGGCAATTTTAAGGGTGCCTTTTTAAAATTTGTGCAATGTGTGGACCTAGGGTCAGGGGTTTTTGTCACAGTGTTAGGAGCACTACTGTTTATTGCTGAATATTACTGATTAGTTGGAATGCATTTTTGTTCCCCTACCCTGCGTATAGGTATTCAGTAACCATACTTGCCAACCTCCAGCATGCAAAAATCTGGTCATGACCAGATTTGGAAAGTAAAAAATCTGGTCATAACGCGTAACGACATTCACGACATATTTACCATGATTAAATTTTATACATATATATACAAAGTATTTGTGTATTGAGAATTCTTTTATTGAAAAAGGATTTAATTTACTATGACAAAAAATTCATACATAATTTGATTTAATTTACATGTTAAAAAATGAGAATTGAAGGTTTCATATTTCAGTATTGACCTGGAGTAAGTTTGCATTTTTTTTTTTTAAATTCTGCTAAATTTGAAAGTATACCAATTTCAGTTTTGAAGTTATTTTTCCTCTCTCGTAATTAATTAACTACTACAATATGTTTTAAATATGAAGTTAGGCCTACACTGTCTTCGATCACTTTATTTTAATATCTAGAATGAAAGTTTTTTTTCCCCCAAGATTCCTTGATATGTACATAAATATCGTTTCTCTTTTTCTTGCTTCAATCAGAGACATATGTTTGGTTCAATTTGTTCCTGTTGGCCCTGATAACGATCTACTTCTATCGGAAGCCATTTTAATTGACTTCAAACATTGATTTGTCCAAACAACACCCAGTTAATTGTTTACAACTGCACTGATAATTAATCCATCGGCATTGTTTACGTAGATCTAAGCTTGGGTTGTAACTGGAAGTTAAAAGTGCAACCTAATTTACGAACCAAATCCGGAAATCGGGAGATTTTCGGGTTGCTCTGCAAAAATCGGGTGATAAGCATGACCCGCCGGGTCATAAAAAATAATCGGGTTACGGGTTGAAAAATCGGGTGTGACCCGACGAAATCGGGTGAGTTGGCAACTATGTCAGTAACCAAGCTAAGCAACTGCTAAGTGTATTGTTATGATGATCAATGGTGCCTCTTTCAAAATTGTGAATGCCATATAGCATCTGGCTTAAAACATGAATCAAATTCAATAATTGGAAAGTTGTTGCATAATGCTCAGGTGACCTATAAGGCCCGTGGGCCTCTTGTTTTTTTAATTCTTCTTTTAATGTATGTTATTTGACTCTGTGTTGAGAACTTTTACCATTTTGATATTGAGGTATCAATTGAATCTCTCTACCCTGTAGATACATGTACATGCAATAGAATACCAATATACAGATATAGCCATTCATGAGTTCAATCCATGCATGAAACGTCTTTGCAGAAAAAGCATGTCAACCAACTTATTTTCTTCAAAGGCAACATTTCATTCGTTACAACTATTTTTTTAAAAAGTTATGTTTAGAAAAAAAAAATTATTAAAAGTCAATCCAATTGCCCAGTATTGGCTCAGCCACATTAACTAAAAAGAATTTTGATAGGTTTGAATGAAATACCCAATAAATCATTTTCATTTTTATATATAACAAATTTAATCTTTAAAATACATTTTTTAAAAGCAATTTGAAGCCCTTTTTTCTAGCCATTATTTTTTTTTACAATCAACCTAAAGCTATGAAATGTGAACTTTTAACCTGTAAACCATTACATTTGAAGGAAATCTGAAATTACCAGGTTTTACATTCCAAGTATCATTGATGCCCTGGCATAGTCTATTAACTATACAGTGATTCCATTTATATATATTTGGGTTGACACATGCTGTTTGGTTACCACAAACAAACATTTTTTTCTTAGACCTTAAGGAATAATATTTACATCCACTGAATATTTTCTCCTTTATTTCTTAAGAAATCCCATTGCGTTCATCACTGCATAAACTACAGTAGGCATGTCGCATGTACAGATTTCTTAATCAGTGGCTGTTCCATCAATGAAACGTATAAAGACGTTCACATCATTAATACAATAATTAATCTTTTTAATCCTACTTTAATTGATTATTTAAACAGATATAAATATAAACAATAAAATGTCTTGCTTACGTGGGTTATGTATTTTTTCTGCAACAGCTGCTTCCGTTCATTCCAGTAATAACAAACAAAGAAAGCATTTAATTGTTTAAATGAAACTTTTAGCCATTTTATTGGAGTATACATGTATAAATAGTTTGTATTTGTTTATGCATATTAACCAGCAGATTAACGAGTGTTCTAATGTGTACATGTACCCTCATTATCCCCCCCCCATTATAGATTACGCATTTTAACTATGTAGTATATATCATAATCATTAAATAAATATGGTCCAGGGTCGAAAAGCACATTCTTTTAAATCTTAAGT